AAAATAAATTTAACAAAAAAAATTACAAACAGCTGGTGTATATTTTTTAAATATGTTTGTTACGTATATTTCTACAATAAACCAAATGAAATTTCATTTTAAGAAAGTAAATATATTATTATTAATAATATTAACAAATATTTAGTTACATAAATGTTCTTTAAAACTAGTTTTCCACTAACATCAACTATACATTTTATCAATCTGATTCATTTCCTTAGTCACTACCACTTTGAAAAATTCATATACTTTATCTCAATAAAGCATTAAGTCTTAGATATTTCCAGCTGAAAATAGCTCTATAAAACTAAATATTAATTGTACTGCTTGTCTTGTAAGCGAAATATTGAATTTCCTTGAACTTTATGCAATACTTATAGAATGTAAATGTCAATGGCAGTTATACGATGGTGGAAGGATTCCAGCTGTAAAATGGTCACGATTTCTTTGACCATGGAACGCCATTTATTACACGCCAAGTCTGAACGGAAGGCCTATTGCTGAAAATTTATACACGGGCGTTCAACTGCGTCGCAAGCCGACAGAGGCAAAAAGAGAGCAAAGCGTATTTCTGTGGATGAAGCCTCGAGGTGACGTTTCTTTAAAAGAGTCCGCCTGCCACATTCATCCTTTTATTCCCTCAGGAGCTTTTTATACTACTTTCATTATTTTTTATCGTCCCACGCGTTAAGAGGGTTCCCGGCTAGCACATATCTATTTTTTAATTTCACACACCTTTGGACATTGTACCTCCATCTAGGAAATACGCACGGAAACTTGAATTTTTATCAAGGAAATTCTCTCTGAAGCAAGGAAATTTAGATTTCTAATAGTCAGTAGACAGATGAAATTAACACTGGAGACTTTAATATCATTTTAATTAATAAAATACCTTAACTATAATGATAATCTCGAATAAATATATATACCCTCAATATAATATGAATGAATTTAAGATTATATTTAAGTCATTATTGACAGGAAGCTTTCTAACGTTAAATATAAAAATTAAACGTGTAGAAAGATAAATATGTTTAAACATATATGAATGAATCTGTGTGTTGTTATAAAAAGAGAAATTGAAACTAAATATGCTTGGAAACGTCTGGTAATATGATTAACATCAATCACAGATGACATGCTAATGTAAAGATATTCATTACACTACAGTATACTACAGTATTACAGTACAGTATTACACTACAGTTATACTGACGGCTATTATTATAGAACGATCATATATATATATCGAATAATTAATGAGATAATAGTTAATTTTTAAATATTTTGTTAATTAGATTGCGAAAGGTAATTTATACAATGAATTACTTCTACCAATTATTTCAGCTGAACATATATATAATAGGGAAAAACTATTCGATTTAGTAAATTACATCGTTCAATCGCATTAATTGATGTTCCCCATCACATGTTATATATTTCTTTAATTTAATGGATTCTCCTTTCAATTGACTAAAATTACCTGAGTATTATACATATTAAACTTTATTATGAAAAAAACACAAATTATTAAATTAAATCGTAACTTAATATTATATAACGGATATAAGAATTAAAAGGGCATACATGATTTATATTAAATTATCACTATGATTACTGTAATATAAAACATTCCAACCAGATTGGGAAATTTGGTAGATATATTTATAAGATTAACTGAACCATTAAATATAAATAATTATCATTTTGATACAATTGTTAAACTGAAATTAGATTTAAAAAATAATAATACGACATATGATAAGACATAATATGAAGTTAATTTTATTAAATTCATTAAGTTTAATATATCAAACTATAAATTACTAAATAAATAACTAAGAAATTCGTGTAAATGTATATACGTGCATGTCTATTAAGTATAATGGATTAATATACATGCATATGTATTATAAATACATATCAAATGATAATTTGACTATTGTATAATCATTCATTAATAAATATTTAAATATTAAAGATAACTATTGGTTTCATGATATTGTCGAAATTTCAAATATAATTGTAATACCTGTAATTTTGAAAAAAAGTTAATATATTTTTAAAGTTTTAGAAACTATTTTCTAAAAAAATATTTTATACAATTTATATGAAAATAACACTATAGCAGATTTGAAATATAGAATTCTTCGATAAAATGTGTATAATCTAGTTAAAACTATGACTGAAAAAGTCTACTAGCATGGAGTTAATAACTAAATTAAAATATTTTTTAATCTTTATAAATTAAAATGAAAAATTTATTCAAGTCACTTGTGATAAGGTATTTAAGATATACATATGAAGATATAAATAATTTGATCTTGTAATAAATTTTTATTTTTTATTATCATTATTATTTTAATAAAAGTATATTATATTTAATAGTCTCCCAATGGTTAACAGATAAATAATTGTAACAAAGTTTATTTATGCAAATAAATATTTATGAATATTTACATAGTAAGCTATATGTAAAACTGCGTGTATGTATCTATATATAAAAAAATTCTATCTATCTAGGTAACTCATCATTTGCTAAAAGAATATATTCTGTTATAGATACATGTACTAGAAATGTACATTATGTTGTATATTATCAGCTTTACTAAAATTTACTAAAATAATTTGGAAAACCTATCTTATCTCATAAAACCAATGAGACATCTCAACGCTTATCAAGTATCGTACTTGTAGTATATCACTAGAAACGCGTGGCAAATGAAAAATTCATATTAATAATCTTATCAGACATTGTTTAGTGAGTTTCGAAGTTGCACCAGCATATATCAAAGTAAATGCGACTGTAATTGTAAATAACTATAAGGCATGTGATGTTGCTCAATCGAAGAAGATGATTCTGTGTACGAGATTGTGAAAAATTATTGAGAATATGCGAACAAATACGATATTAAAACAAGCTCAACAATTTTATTCATGTGCAAAAAGTATATTAAAACGTTTACTTGAATGTGATAGTGCATAGTTATTTTTGATAAAGAATTTTTTCGTTTTTTAATTGTTATATAGTGAAGAAACGTGAAATTGCATATTATAATATTGATAAAATAACTGTGTCTATGAACACTTTAAAAATTTATTCGAAATTGAATAAAATGCTTATAATGTACCCCTTGATCATTTGAAATTTATGAAAAATCCCTCATTAATACCTTACTAGACTTACTATAAATTAATAATCTTGGAGTGGAATTAAAGAATGAGTATAGATAAAACTAATTTTTTTTCTTACGTATACTCATCATGGATAACAAAAAGTTTATGGAAAGCTTATCGCAGTGGAATATCTTTATTAAATATACCGGCAATTTCGCCATTGGACAGCTGTTCGTGTAACATACGAAAGTATGTATATTTGTAGGTTATAAAAAAGAAATGTATCTATGAAATTATATATAATAGAAGTTAATTCTTCGTAAATTATTAATTATTAATTATTATCAGTAAAATATTCTGCATATTCAGCTTTAAATTTGAATCTAATTATACATTGGAATATCAGCAAATTCTTTATAACGCTTTTTTTTTATTAATTAACAATAAAAAAATTAAAAATAAATATAAAATACAAATAATGCATATATGAAATATTATTAAAAACTTTATTAATATAGAATTGACTCTAATTATAATATACAACATCTTAGTTATAATTATAAATGTTTTTTACTAGAGTCGTTCATAAATACTGAATACAATATTTTTAATTTAAGATAATCGATCAATTTATTTTCATATAAGTATAATATTTTCAAAAAGAAATGTTACCAGTTGTAATAATAACAATGAAATTATCAAAATTTAGATTTGAAAATTTATGGAATGAAGAATTAAGACAGCGAGGACCGACATCAGCTTCATTAGTACTCGCAGGATGGAAATTTGTAAGAATACGGATTATCGTTTCCTGTATTTTTAATGCATGTTCACAAATATTGCGGTTCGTGCTTTACGTGAGTTGATTTAGTTTTTATTTTCTAACGATGACACATTATTTTTAAGAAAATTAGGAAAACTCCTTTGAATAACATACATTTAAAATGTATAATAACTTGTTTAAATTTATTTTTAAATAATATACATTTCAGTGTTATTATCTAAAATTTATTTCAATTGTTCATAATATTTGAAATAATTAATAACATTAATAATAAAAATTTAGTGCCTATATTTCAATTATATATATGAATGTAGAAATATGTCAATATTACGATTTACGCAACGACTGGTAAATTATTGACATTTAGTAGATTACTTTTTAAAAAAATATAATGATAATAAAATTATCAATCTAAATTTTAATTCTTATAATACAATATTTTTGTATTAATATATCGTAGATTAGAGTGCAAAACAGATCTTTCCAAAACAATTTTTTATTAATATTTATCAAATGTATTAATAATAATTTCCTAATATATTTAAATGAAAGAACCAATTTCAACCAGAAATACTTTATCTTAGCATTTTTATACATATAAATATTTAAATCTTATTTGATATTTTTACCCTTCATTAGATTTGGGACTATATACTTTGATGAAGAAGCTTGTCAGTAAAATATTACGAACTTTTAAATAATGCACTAAAGTTTCTAAAATATACTCAGAATACCATATTCTAATTAATCTAATAATTTATTTATAGTTAGAAAATTATTTATAATTAAATTTGCATTTCAAGCAGTAAGTTAGTTTTCACTTTAGTTAAATTCCGTATTTTAATATGTTAATATGTATATATTACAAAAGTTAAAAAAATTTTTTTTTAAATTTAAATTAAAAATTAATATAAATTTAATTTTGAATTCACTAGTACACTAGGAATATTTCTAAAAATGAAAGATATTAGTTTAAAATCAGTGAGATGACTATAACAATGCACCCAGACATTTAAATTTATAATTTTCTAAATATAAATATATATTTTGGCAGAGTTTAATAAATATCATTGATTTAAAGTACTGTGCACAGAACACGATGACAGTAATTAGGGCATCGAGATTAGTATTACTTCATGTAAGAAATACGAAAATTGAAATTATTTTTTATTTATAGACATTATTGCTACAAAAATTGTTGGAATATAGTGAACATTCTGAAAAGCATATTTTGAGTGGAATTCAATGGACTATTTACGTGGTTGGATTTGATCTACTTCAAACGATTCTTTGTACTTGGAGTGATATTATGAATCAAAGAACAGCATTGCGTTTGAAAGCGGCTTGTTTGAGTCTGTTATTAAAAAAAATTATACATTCTAATGTTGCATATAAGAATATGAACGAGGTACATGTATAAATGACAATAATAAAAATCAATTATTTTAAAAATAAATGTCATAGTATTTGGAATAATTATATTATATGTAGTATTTTTTCAAAATCTTCAGTTCATTAGTTAATTAAATTAAATTAAATTAAATTATGTTAAAAGGAAAGAAATTTAATCATAATTTAGTGCAACATAATAAATTTCAGTAAAATATTTAAAGAGTAATAGTATTTTATAAAGATAAACCTCTAATATGAAAGCAAATGATTATTAGGCATTATATAAAAATAGTCTAATTTCTATAGAATATTTTGAGAATTATATAGATTGATTAGAAATTTAAGAATATTATGTACTTTAGACTTTATTTATAAAAAAGCAGTGGATGATTTTTTATACTTTGATGTATAAATTACATCCCTTTAATTCTAGAAAAATAATTTTAAATACTTTTTAAATTAAAACTTTAATGTTTATATAATAGAAGTAACAATTTTTAATAGATGATATAAAGCTAGAGAAATTGAGATTAAAACTAATGAATTATAATTTCATAGTTATAAAGTCAGTCTAAATTTAAGAATAGTATTATTAAAAATTATATAGTTACAGCAAATTTTTTTGTCGCTTAAATTAAGTAAAAAATGATATGGCTATTATATTTTTAATAGTATAATAATTCTATCTTAATTTATAAATGAAAATAAAAAATGTATTTCTTATAATTTTATGTATTCAAGAGTTATTGTACTTTGTTGTCATTATTATATTTTGTTGAAATTTCAGCTTATGAATATATTATTAAACGATGGTCGTAAAATTTATGATGCTGTTAATTTTGGAACATCCATAGTCAATGGCCCGGTGGTAACTTTGTGCGCTGCTATCTATATTTCAATATGTCTAAACCCTTTAGCTTTAATAGGACTTATTATATTCTTACTATTATATTTAATACAGGTAATAATGTGTTATTATTTATTTGATATATAAAAAGAATATACAGAGCATTATACAATTGTATAACATTAATGAATTCTTAAAGACGTGCATCAATCAGGATATTTGTTTTACGATTAAAATGATACGATTAGTTCTAATTTATCATTTTATATATAACATATGTAATGAAGTGATGGATAGATAGATTAATTTCTGTGTAAAAAATATTTGTTGATATTAAATCTCGTATTAGATATAAAATATCGTCATAAATATCTATATTTTTTGCAGAATCCGTTTACATACGTAGAAAATTATTGTACAGAAATTGCTAATGATTTTACGAAATCTAGGATGCTGAAAACAATTGAAACAATAAACTCTATTAAACTCGTAAAGATAAATGGATGGGAAGATCATTTTATTGAAAATATTACAAGTAAATTACTTATAAGTAATTATATATTTAATATTTATAATTAGATTAGGCTTCATTTGATATTTATTTTAGATATTCGAAATAGAGAAAGTAAATGGTTATTCAAAGCAACATACTTGAATAGTCTTACTGCATCTATGAATTACATTATCCCATTCATTGCAATTATCGCAACATTTTTTATACATTTTTTAATGAGTCAACATTTAACAACTTCTGAAGTAAGTGTTCTATATTAAAAAGTACAATAATACATTAGTTACCAAACATTTATATTTTTGGCTACAAAAGTTAAATATTCATATAAAAATTTTATTTAGAAGACAAAATCTTATGAAAATCTTATTCCTACGGAACTCTTTACAGGCTTTTCCAATATGCATTGTTTTTATTGTACAAATGAATGATAGTTTTATATCTACGAGAAAGTCACTATATCATATTAAACAAGCTGTATTAACATTGAATAGAATAAAGGTAATTGTTCTAATTAATAATATTTTTTAATTAAAATAATTACATGATCAAACAAATATTATCAAATAGGCTGGATTGCTACTCGAAGACACCAGTAATCACATATTAAAGCCATTCGAATCATCACAAGCAGTGATGATAATTAATGCATCCTTTGCTTACGATATTTACAAGAAAGAAAATTATCAGGCTGCAATGGTAGTCGAAACTAAGTAAGTAATTTTACAATTATAAGTCATTAATTAGCATTTAAATTATTACCATCAATGACTACACGAGCATCGTTTTTCCATGATTTTATGTAGAATAATATAAATTGCTATTAAATGCATAGAAATTACAAATACATATTTTTAAAATCTACTTCCATAGGTATAGCAATTCAATGTAATGATACAATTTTCAGATACGAGAGTAAGTTGGTCAGCAGTGAAGAGAAACAACATCTAACCAGCTCGATCTTCGCTTCGAAACGCGTCGAGGTTTTATTTAATATAACCTTTAAAGCTCGGAAGGGTCAGTTGATCGGTGTGTATGGACCACCAAAGTGTGGAAAGTCATCTTTACTGTTGGCTGCTCTCGGCCAGATGAGAATGACTTCAGGCCAGTTAATGAGGCAGGGAAGTTGCGCTTACGTGGGTCAGCGACCTTGGCTCACCCAGGCTACACTCGGAGAAAATATCCTCTTTGGCGAGGGCTATGACGCAAAGCGCTACTACGAGGCCCAAATCGTTTGTAAGCTTAGACAAGACGTAAAAGAGTTGGTTGGTGGTGACAAGTACAAGATAAGTGACAGTGACAATAAGATTTCGGAGATCCTAAAGCAGAAAATCGCACTTGCTAGAGCATTTTATGCTGATCGGTAAGTAAATTCCACGGAACATTTCACGCGTATATGTTATGAGTTGCCTTACATTTAGAGATTGTTTATTATTATGAAGTTATTATATTCGGAGGAATACGATATTTCTTTCGTGTTCGTCTACGTTAATAAGTGATCGACCACAATATATTTAGCTCCTCAATTGGCTTATAGAGAATTTTTAAATGAAAATATTTTTTAAAGTATAATGCAGTATCTATTATTACTAGTATATTACTAGAAATATCTTAGTAATAATATTAGTTATTAAAATCCAAATACTCACATATTATAAAATTCATTTTTTTCAAAATTTATTTAACTTAAGACTATATCTAAAAATATAGTAAAAATAAAGTAAATTAAAAATTATAAAGAATTTAAAAAAGATAAATTATAAACGCTATCTAAGCGACAATATTATTTTGAAAAAATTTTATGGATATAATATGTGTGTGTGCTCGCGCGCGTTTGCGTGCGTGTGTGTGTATAAAATAAGAATACTCTTGACATACATTCTGACTAATATGAAATCTAATCAATTAAAATCTTATAAACGCAGAAAAAAAATATAAGGATAATTCTTATTAGAGGCACAACTGCCGCTAGCTGCAAATGTCACTTTCAAACTAATTTGCTTTAGTTCTGTTTATTTTTTTAATCAGGGATATATACTTTTTGGATGATCCATTACGTTGTATGGAAGATACGGTTGCTGAAGAGATATTTGAAAATCTTATTATAAGAGCTCTCGCTGAAAAAACTATTATTTTTGTCACCTGTGAGCTGAAGGTGCGTTAATTATTAAATTTTACTAAAAAATGCTTTAAAACATAACTATTTCGATTTTTCTATAGATAATTCAATTCGTATGGAAGAAATCGAATGCTTAGTTATAATTCGCAATTCGCCTTAAAATGTCATTTCATATATAAAATCTAAAACACTTTGTAATTATTAATTCAACTGAATTTTCGTCGTGGAATATGTTTTGAATTTTCGCATTACCTATTCTTATTTTACAGTATATAAATCGATGTGATTACATGTATATCATGCGTGATGGGAAAATAGCAGAGCATGGAAGACACAAGGAATTGATGCGCTTAGGTAGAGAATACGCTTCGTTAGTTAAATCAGCAATTATTGACGCAGAAGGTGATTATTCCGATGAGTAAGGATCATTATATTTTATACTTTTTCATATTAAACTTCATATTCATAAAGGGATACCAATTGGCAATAATTCATAGTTTAAGGAAAAATTATATTTTTATAATATGTTAATTATTTTTAATTTCAGATCTTGTAAATTTCAAAAAAATAATTCATCAAACGTGAAAAATGATAAAGAATTATCGATTGCTGATTGTTGGAAAATTGAACTTGAATCTGAAGATGAATCTTATTATGCAATAAATGAAAATGAATTAGGAGAGAAAAAAATAATGACAATGACGTATTATAGTTACATAAAATCTTTTGGTGGTTTATTCATGCTAATTCTTCTTATACTAACGTATATTGCTTTTACGGCAATCGGACTTATTACTCTATTAAGACTTATCTGGTACATTGAGACCATTAAGTCGGTGAGTAATTCCTTCCTACTTTGCGTAAAGACAATTTTTTTTGTTTTCGTGATAAGCTACGAGTAGTAAAATAAAATTGTTGTTTGTATACACTTTAGATATAATTTATTAATACGATAGAATAGCGATTATTATACATTTCAATACATGTCATAATTTATTAAAAATATTTATCATATGTTAGGAAAATATTCTAGTACAGGGAGTTAAAAAAAACAATTTTGAATCCTCGAAAAGTTGGTGTGGATCCTGTTTTTTCTTCATAATATTAGGATGTTTACTAAAAGCTTTTATAATGCAATATGTAGGGAATAAAATTGCAGATAAATTTCACACTGCTCTCTTAAATAAGTTAATAAATGCACCTATAAATATTTTCGATGTTACAACATTGAAAAAAATGAAGAAAGTCTTTTTAGTTGATTTAAACAATGGTAAGATTTTGTACTGAATTATTTGTAAGTTATTCTATATCTATAATACTACATTTGTTCCAGTCAGTCTATTAATACCACCAAAATTGGATATAACTTTCTCGAATATAGTTATAGTAATTTTCAATTTCTTTATTTTGATTAGTACAATTCCGTGGTTTACTAATTACATAGTATTTACGAGTGTTTTCATTTTCTTTATTGGCAAAATATTCAGGTATTATATTATATCGTATTCAGTAATTAAAAGATATCTAATTTTTTTATTATTAAATTTAATAATTAATAATCTATTTTAATTCTAAATATATTTTTCAAACAAATTATTAAAAAGAATTTTAATAAAATATGCTAATAAAGAAACATACTATATGTTGCGTTAAATTATATCGTTATTCAATCATATTATTGATTTTATTCATTAAATAATATTAAAAATAATTTTATGAATTTCTATTGAATTTCAATATTAGATTTTCTACAAAATTAATTTAAAGTTTATTTAAAATTTTTTTTTTAATAGTAATTTGTAAAATTAAATGTTGAAAATTCAAGTTCTGAAAGTTTACATAAAATTTACTAATATATAAAAAATTCTCTATTTTCCAAAGCATTGCTGAAGGAAACATAAAACGCTTAGAAAAGACACAACGACTGCCATATTATAAATTTCTTCGTAATAGTCTTCAAGGCCTCACTACAATTCGCACATTTAAAAAAGAAAATGATGTATTGAGCAAGTAAACACTTTTTATTTACATAGTCTTAATAAAATATAAATGTGCTATTGAAAAATTACCGGTAGACATTTTTAACGAAATTTATATAGTAATGAACAAATAATTACTCCAGAATTGCAAAAATATTTCTAATACAATATATTATTTTTATTTAGATTTCAAGATTTCATTGATCGAAATAATGCTTGCCGATTTTTCAAAAATATTTCTGCGAAGTGGTTTTCTATAAGACTACAAGTTCTTACGACAGCTTGCTTATTCGTTGCTGCAAATTGCATCGTCGTTTTAAAAGATAATGTATCACCTGGCATTGCCGGATTGACATTTATATATGTAATACAAATACCAAGCATTATTCAAATAAGTATGAAATATATTTTCAAAGCAAAACGTTACTTCGCAAGTGTGCAAAATATATATGACTACCTTCATGTAAGTATATAAAATATTATCTTTCAATAATGTCCATTCAACAAGAATTTTTATTATGACTATATATATATATATATATATATATATATAGTTAAAATACTATTACAAAAATGAAGACTTAAATATAATAGAAACCTAATGTAATAATAAATGTTATTTTGTTTGTTATTTTTTATGCATATTTTTGTATTTCTATGAAAATCAAAGTAAAACTAGAAATATCATAAAATATTGAAGAAAGATAGAATTGAAATTGAAATTCATCACTTCAGTTATTCATGTAGTCGATCATCTGCCATTATATTTAAAAACTTTATTATAATGTCATAAATTATAATATAATACTTTAGAAAACGTAGAATATTATGGTAATTTGGATATGTAACATTAATTAAAACTCAAGATAATAAAATATAAATTGAAAATAAATATTCAAATGTTATCATATATCAGTAAAACAAAAAAACAAAATTAATGATGCATTTTTATACAATAATTTCAGACACTTTCTTTTGAAAACAGTAATAGAATTCAAGCTATAATTCCCGACTATAAATGGCCAACAACGGGGTTAATTCAATTTGATAAAGTGCAGTTGAAATATAAGGATAAAACAGATCTCATTTTTGATAATATTTCATTTACAATTAATAATTCGGAAAAAATAGGTAAACAAATAAATGATTTAAGAAAAATTAAACTTCATATTAGTATTTTAAATTAGCGTCTCCTCTAAATGTGCCTTAGACTCAAAAAGAGAATAATACATATTTCAGGGATACTGTCTAAAACAGATATTTGCAAGACTTCGTTGATTGATATAATGTACAGATTATGTGAATTAAATGATGGTAAAATATATGTTGATTCAATTGATATATCACAAATTGATATCAAACATTTGAGAAATCAGTTATTTACCGTACCTCAAAATCCAATATTTTTTGGTACAATCAGGTAAGAAAAAGCTTACATACATATTTATTTAATAAATACAAAAATGTTAAATGTTATGAAATTATTAATTTATTACTTTATATACAGATTTTTCTTAGATCCAAAAACACGATATACAGATGCAGAAATTTGGAGTGCTTTAGAGAAAGTACATTTGAAAGATAAAGTATCATTAATAGCTTCCCAACTTCATTATCTAATTGTTGGGAAGACCTTCAGTATATGTGAAAAACAATTGTTTTTTCTTGCAAAAGCTCTTCTCCATCATAAAAAAGTGAGATTATTATCAAATATAATTTTGTTCAATGCTATGTTAATGAAATATATTTCATGCATTATTACATACAACAAATACTACCGGTTAGAGAAACTACTATTTATTGATAGTTACCATGATTCCTTCTCAGAATAAATGTAAAACATTTACGGAACATGTTGACAATTTTTTTATTTAAAGTACATATATTTCTACATTTATGTATCTTGTATGTAAATATCCGCATTAATAGATTGGCTAATAATTGAAAATGTTTGTGTTACACTACGGAATATTTCAATACGGAATTGACCAGCATATTCATAAAAGTACGAAAAACTTCAGTTAAAAAGATATCTCCGAAATTTTTGCCATTCATTATATATTATGATATCAAATATAATAGTTGATCATAAATTGTAATTTATTATAAATATAAACGATTTGTGCAATAATTTCAAGTAGAATATTATCAGTTCACTCGTATTTGAAAATGTTACACTCATATATAAAAATTTGATTCTTTTAATTCCTTATTATTTTAAATTCAAAGAAAATGAAAACTGAATGTCATCTATTAATTTAATAAATTTATAAATAATTAATTTAATAAATGTAATATTGTATTATTATTAATAAATTACTTAAAAGCTAATCATACATATGACAAAAAAACTAATATTTTTGAGTCGTTATCACGCGTAAACAATTTTTACAGATTGTTCTGTTAGAAGAGAACACTACGAGTGAACCGAAAGCAATGGGGTTGATTCATCAAATCCTCGATAAAGAATTCTCAAGCATAACTGTCCTTATAGTCGCCCATTATTTGAGTACGGTATTACCGTGTAATCGGATTTTGGTAATGGACAATGGTCGGGTTCTAGAATTTGATAACCCATCGACGCTAATGAATAATCAAGCTTCAAACTTGAGAAAAATGTGGAGAGACGGGGAGACTGTCGAAGGGACTTGAAATACAAGTATACTTTAGATCTAGTTAGGAAGCAACCAAATAGTTAATAAATTTATGTATTATATATATATATATTTATACATATATATGTATAAATATATATGTATATATAGATAGATAGATAGATAGTAAAAATGGTAGTATATATTTTCAAATAGGAATTAAAAAATGTAAAGTTTTTCATTTCATATTGCTATTAATTAATATTGCGTTTTACTATTAATTTTGAATAATATACAATAATTACTATTATTATTTAGTTGTTATTAATCATTGAAATGCAATGAAAATCACCTTACATCTAATGTTATAATAATAAAGATTTTGATGAATAATTGTGAGATTTTCGATATTAAATAACTAAACACATATGTTTTCATACATTTTCACTATGAATATAGTGTTACACAAAATTTGTATAATACTCAGCCAAATTCATTATAAAATTAATATTGTTTTATATAATGCATGAATAAATTAGAATACTGATATATTTTCTAATATATATATATATATTACTTATGTACAATTTTACCTTCAAATCATATATATATACAGATGTTCATGTATATGGATAATCTGACCAATGGTCAATCATCCTTTGTTGTTATAATAATTGAATATACACTTTCGTTTTTACGACACAATAATATACAAACAGCAGAACTCCCCTCATTACAATAACAAAGTGAACAGCCCTGACCGCTAATGACAACATCAATGACGATATTTCTCAGGGTCGAAAAAGAGGGCCATTGTGTACACGCCAGGGACTGTGAAAGCTCTCTATTGCATTTTTGAAAATGTTTATATGCGTGTAAATTCTTCCTATTAATATTATATGCAAATATTCTTTGATGTAGCACACAGAAAGTAAAATATTATTAGCAGGAAAGCAAATTCAATTATTTAAATTGGATTATGAAAGGGTTGATATTACAATACTCATAGGGTATCAATACAATTTCGTTAGTAGATCATGAACATTTTTTCTTTTTCATAACTTCATCTAATTAGTTAAAAAATATTTTTCTTAACCTCCTAAGTACCTATGTTAATATTATATATATATTTAACCATAGCACCTACAACTTTTACTGAATAATTGAGTAATAATAATAAGTTAGTAACATTCTAATTATGAAAAACCTTTTCTCTATTCGTCAGTACACATGAAACTAAATCAAATAAAATAAAAATTAAATAAACAGTAATTTCAAATTCATAATTAAGGATATATTATGTTGATCGATATTATGAATAATCCCTATAAAATTACTTTTTCGTAATTTAAGGATATATGGACTTTTTCGCATTAATAAATTTATGTAATATAAAAACAATATTTACATACACTAGTTTATGATAAAATAATACCAATTTGTCTAATTAATTAGAAACAAGGTAAACTATTTTTAGTATTTTAGTAATTCAGTTCAGTTTTTAAGTAACATTATGTTCAAGTAATATTAAAATAAAAGGAAAAATGAATGAAGTTATCAATTAGGTATATGAAAAAATACAAATTTCATTATTAAAAATTGACAGAAATAGGTAGTTTCATTATTTATTTTTCTTAATATATGATATATCGTAATCAAACAGTAGTTTAGTGTACAATCAATGTTTAAGATTAAAGTATATTTATTTTATTCATTTTATTAATATTCTTATTTAAGTATTCGGATAATAATGCATACTATATGTTTAAACACACTCTTAAATTCTTGATTTATTAAATAAAAGATATGTTGCTAAACTTGTAATTATAATAAAAATGAAGCTTTTTATTTTATTGTAATTAATCAAATTAACTGTCTATAGAGTTTCCAAGGATACAATAAATAATTAAATAGAAATAAATTAATACAAATGTATCGATTGAAGAAGTAATTCTTATAAGTACAAATAGCAGTCGCTAAATTTTTTTAATTTTTAAAAATGAATAAGAGAGAAAATAAGATGAAAAAATAAGAAATGAGCGGTTAGAATTTCCATTAACGAGCCATTTCTTCTATTCTATTGTTCCCTCTGGTAATCCCGTGAAATTCATCAAGATTTTAATTAAAAGTTTTTTATTATTTTAGTTTCTTACAAGGACAGAAAAGTACAAGCTAGCGAAAAATTCTCTTTCCATTAAATAATTTTTATTTAATCTGACTTAGTACAGGAAAATAACTTTTACCTTTACAATAATTTTTAGTAAAACTGGGAAAATGTAAACCAACATAACAACACAAAAAAATAAACAATAAACGACTTCAAATTCTTCTAAAAATAATTACTTTATCGTATTAATTAATTATGTATATTCCTATGAAGTTATAAAATTGTATTTATCTGAAACTTATAGCAGCACGAATAATCTTAATATAAAAATATACTTTCGAGCTTAGATAATCGAAAGATTACGAAATTTTTTCTGAAAGATGTAACATTTCGTGCAGATAGAATTTTAATAATCAGCATAGCCTTTTCTTTTATGAATTTTTTAGTCAAAGTTCCTATAAAATTATTCGCTTAAAAGTGGCCGATTTTATTCGATTTCAATGTTTATAAGTATACATAAAATTTTGAGAATGCACATTCTTATCTGGTCTATACCATCGGCACTCGTTAAAGAAACATTTCAACGATATTGGAAAAAATTTTGTTCACGTAAAGCTAGATTGCTCCTACTACTTAGAAAACCTTTAAATTCAGAATGTTTCTTATTTAATATAAAGAGAATTACCTAAATCCTTAATAATATAATTATATACCAGTTGTCTGAATAAGGATAAGTAACTTATTATTTATACAATGAATGGTACATATAATTTATGAAAATATCTCAGTACAAAATAAATAATCTATGTAATTTGATTTTTACCATATTCGATGATGTATGTACATACATATCTGATATACATATGGACGAGTAGGTCAGTACGTGCTCGTGTATGTATGTGTGTGTGTGTGTTTCTGTGTGTATTTTATATATAAAGTCTCCTGTTATATATGCTTAATTAGAAGGCAAAAGTGCAAATTCAACTAAAAACATATTTTAACAATCGTAATTTTTATTCCGTAATCAAGTAAGCATACCAACCATTGTTATCTAACAAACGGAAATCATTCCCTCACACAATGCATTCATAGCGAGCAATAAAGTGGAATATATCCCATAAAAAATAAACGACCATCTAAAAAAACACATGCATTCGTTGGTTATTATATATAAAGAAGGTCATACTCTACAACATGAATGAAAACAAGATAAACCAAAACTAAATTATAAGACCATTTTATTGTCAAACTGAAAACTAAATTTTCTTTTATCACGTGCGTACATTTGTATGTGCGAACAAATTTGCTTTAATTTTTTTTTGTGTATAACGCCTCTGGATAAAATTTGGTTCCCTCGGAGCAGTAATTGTGGCTTTATTACATTAGCACAGTGCTCAGCATTGATTTTTTGTGTAATCAGGAATAAAGCTCTTGCGCGTGCACCTCGAACGCCACTCGAGAGAAGCACTGGTATTTTAAACAAAACAATTCTGGCCAATGCAAGAGTTCTAGTACAGAGATAAAAACGAGGGGATGAGGAGTGATGCAGTTAAATTAAGAGTAGAATGTATCGCCTGAAACAAAAAATAATGAAAAAAAACAGACAAGCAGTGTTAGAAGTCAAAGAGTTGGAGTTTAAAAATGTAAACAAAACATGGAAATTATTATTATTTTTTCAATTTTGAATAAAAATATTTATACGACTAATAAAGTTTTTTCAAATTGTTTTAATTTTGTGCACTTCGATTTATAAAAATTCAATACAAAATCATAAGACAAGTTACATTGAAACTGATTTATTTATTTCGCCAGTCATTATTTTAATATACTAGAGAAATACTTTCAATACGGCAAAATTTATAGATGACATAAGTAATAACAAATTATATTGGAAACAGATTATAGTTAAACTTTTTGTTTGGTAATCTGAATCAAAAATATTTTTAGGAAATCTGTTGAATGATTATATTTAAGTACAAACTTACTGTAACTTATTGTATGTTGTAAAAAAATTGCATTTATTACTCCTAATAAAAATAATTGAGAAAAAATCAATTTAATTTGAAAATATTTTCTGCAATTTAATAAGAATAACTTTAAAATATAACAAGATAATAACGTAACCAATCACAAATATTTAAAAAATTTATTTAAATTAATCTGCACTTTATATATTTCTTAACGTAACTTGATTTGTCAGATTTAAAAATTCTAAAAACTAATAAATTTAGATCAGTTAATAACATATTTTAGTTTACGATTATTATCGAGTATAATCTATATATATATATATAACATTCCTAGAACATTTATTAAATATATCCTTGAATAAAACCACATTTAGTCTAGGAAAAATATAAATTCAATATTCCCTTTCCGATGTATTATCGAAGACTATCCGTAATTAAAACTCATTCTGTTGATTCTTTATTTACTCTGTGATAAAGAGAAATATTTCTATTTCACTTTCTTCCTATTCTTCGCTTTCTATTTATTAAATTTATTTTTTTCAATTAATTTTACATAATTATTAGTATTTATTAGAAGATTCATTAGAGAATACTATCCATAATATATTATTTTATACAATATTTATACAATAGAAACATTTTTTATATTAGTATTGGAGTTAACTGTTTTTCATTTCCATTGATCTAAACTTGAAAAAAAAATCTATTTTGTTAATTGCACTGCATTATTATATATTTATAAATAAGTAATTCATTTTAGTTTATGTTTCAATTAGCTCAAACTGAAAATGGAATTATAAATTGATGAAACTCCTATAATTTCAAGATTTCAATTAAGTTAAAATGAAATTTTTTATTCTCAAGTACGATATTGACTTCATTTCATGTACCTATCATTTGATGCTGCATTTAAATAAGCAGATCTTTGGTGAATCAGGGGAAAGTCGTATATATCTATTTTTATTGACACACTTGATATTATGATAGTCTGAAGGCAGTGAAGTAGAAAAATGGTAAATAATGAATTCATCCGCGTATCCACTCTTAATTGGTTTTCCGATCACGTTCCCACAATATCGAATATACTAATTAGCCTTATAACGTGAATTCTAACAAATATACAAGCAATTTTGAGTTTTATCACGATTGTTATTGTATCGAATATCAAATTTTATCATTATTTACAAAAATTTTTTTTTGAAAGCTTGTCGGACAATGATAGAACGTTGATTTGAATGGAACTTTCTCATTTTCCATCATTATTATTTTGTAGCTTATATATTATTATATATTAAAATGTGTTTGACACCCGTCTTATACATAAATTATGATTATAGTAAAGCATAGTGATGTAACAAAAGTCATTTCTAATACCTTTATTGTAAATAAACTTTTATTATAATAATATATTTAAGTACTTCTTTCATAAGGTTTATATATTGAATATTCTATTATATAATATAATACAATGCAATAATGAATTACACGTGGTTAACATGTGCGCTACAAAATTGTAACAACAAACTCAAAACATGGCGATAAATTATACCAAACTTTACACGAAATTACACTAGGTTTTCAACACATATGTAACGTAATAATTGGATATAGTGTTTGAAAAATAAAAAAACTTTAGCTTATGCTGTATTTCATAAAATATAGAACACGTTAACGATAAATTGCTAAATCTTTGTTTCCAAAGAAGATCTGATTTTAACGTTTTTCATAGAGAATAAATAAAAAATTTATTTCCTTCATTCAATTTGATGTTATTAGAAATTGGTAGTATTTTTTAATTTTATTTTTTCAACCTTACGTTTTTCCTTATACATGTATATTTTAACTTATGTACTTTTTATAAAATCAAATTGCTTCTTTTTATTATTATAAACAATTATTTTATCAGTATAATATCAACTTGTTTTCTTTTTAAATAAGGATGCTGCAGAATTAAAAAATTTAAATATTTAAATTATAGAGTAATATAAAGGAATATGAATTTTAGATAAAAGCACTGTATAATTTATTATACTAATTGTTTCTATTAATTGTTTCAACATTTTCCTCTACAACTATTGAAATAAAAATAATAAAAAATGCTCCATAATTATTTTGTAAATCATCCTAAAGATTATTATAATTATCTAGATGTAGAGTAACGTATATTCTCCATTAAAGCCAATCTTCCTTAATCATATCACTGCCTTTCTCAGCGATCATAATTATCGGAGCATTGGTATTTCCCCTTGTAATTTGAGGCATGATTGAACCATCCATAACTCTTAATCCATGAATACCATAAACTTTTAGGCGATAGTCAACTACCGCTTCCACATCATACTTTGGACCCATTTTACAAGTGCCTACTGGATGATAACTCGTTATTGAATATTTTGAAATCAAGCACTTATAATACTTTTTAGAATGAAATTCTTTACAATCATTATATCTTCTAATACGAAAACCATTACTGATAAAAGCTTTACTATTTGCAAGTCTTTCGATAATTTTCACTGCTTCTACAAGTCTATCAATGTCATCAGAATGCGATAAACTATTCAAATGTATCAAGGGATGGCTCCATACGGGGTTAGATATATTCAGCTTAACCGAACCTCGACTTTTAGGGAAAATTAAACTAATAAATGGTTGGGCTTGATCGTAATATGATCTAGTAATATCGTTCAACTCATTATAATACTTATTTTTTTCGGATAGACTACCGACAAACCCAACTTGAATATCAGGAACACCTAAATGATTCTCAAACGATGTTTGTAGAAAAGCCACAGTTCTTTGAATGCCTATACTTGATAAAGGACCTCGATGAGTCTTTATCCATTTCAGTAAATCTATTTTTAAATCCTCAAAATTTGTTTTTGCTTCAAATCCATGCTGCAAGTCAAATATAAATGGAAGAAGTACCGTATGGTCGTGAAGATTATGCCCAACAGGTAAATCCTGAATCACATTTATATTTGCCTCTTGAAGATACTTAGCTGGACCAATGCCAGAGAGCATTAGTAATTTAGGAGTTTCTATGGCGCCTGCAGAAACGATAACCTCTTTTCTCGAATAGGCTTTAATTATCTTATTAGTTTTTAAGCACACGTACTCCACGCCCAGTGTCCTTTTAGAATATTCATCAATCAATATTCGCGTGACTTGAGATTTGGACCTGATGATGAGATTTTGTCTTTTATCGCGAATAGGCCGGATAAATGCATAATTTGCACTACATCGTGATCCATTTATTGCGGTATATTTTAAATTTGAGACACCAATTTGAGAGTGAAAATTATAATGTCTTTTTTGTAGACCCAATTCTTGCCACGCTGAAAGAATAACGTCGATATTCTTATCCTCTTCTGGAAAATTTTCAACCGTTAAATAGCCATCTGTGTCATGACTTTTGGAACTTTGAGGAAAATTCTATTAAAAAAGTCATAATTTAATGGATAAGAAATAGTTTCCTTATGCTATAATTTAAAATATATAAGATTGTTAAATTATAAAATAAAGATTTTAATTCTACAATGAAGAATAAAATTTAATAGAATTATTAATTACTAATTTTATGTCACATACTTTTGAACTGGTTACGACTCTGGATTTATTAAAAAATGGTAGAACATCATGATAACTCCATCCTACATTTCCGAAATTTCCCCAATCATCAAAATCTTGTTTATTACCATAAATATACATCATACTGTTAATGGAACTACTTCCCCCCATAACCTTTCCGGCAACTAAGTGACAGGATCTATTCTTATATACACTGCATATTACAGGTTCCGGTTGAGTGTAATAACTTTGATCGATATTACTTTTCGATAAAAGTGGCCACAATCCAGGAACACTCGTAATATTTGGTTCTTCGTCTCCAATTTCTAGCAATAATATCTATAAATATTTGTAATCTAAATTCAATATGCGTTTATCCTGATAATCAAAATTATTGTTAAAAAAGTTAACAAATACAAGCAACATTAATATAAATAATTTTTTAAAGTTAATTGTAACTTATATATAATTATGTGCAATGAAATTTACAACCTTCCAATTCTGTATTTCACTCAATCGATTTGCTATAACACACCCAGCACTACCAGCTCCAACAATAATAAAATCATAATTATTCTTATTATGAACTTGAATATTTTTTTTATTTATAAGAGGAGTAGTTTTAGAGTCACTTGAACATACTAAATATTGCACTAAAACTGCAATAAATGTTAGCATTTCTGATCTGCAAATTCCTGTAGATATACCAGGTGACCAAACCATTATAAAAATTAATATTGCCTCACGCGACTGTTAATTTATATTCATAAAATTTGAACAATTTTGTTTCTGTACTCAAAATATATACAAAAAAGTAAGTACATAATCATCAATATTTATTATCATTTATTGATCTTTCAACAATTAAAACTAATATGTATTATCGTAAATTAATCAAGTGAATGTTATCATTGAATATAATTTTATCCCGGGAGTACAATAATATATTTACATAATTAAATGTAATCGATGAATAATTTATTTTATTTCAATTATTACTATTTACAAAATTGTAAAAAACTTTAGACTCTTTAATTATAATGATACAATCCTATTGGTAATACAGAAAAAAATATTTATTCTTAAATTAATGTTGTTATTTTATTTCTTGCGATTTAGTAACAGATACAAGAAAATACTTCAAGTAAATTGATTTTTATTCGTTATATTAATAAATTTAGTTACTTAATTTGATGAATATTAAAATAATAATAAATTTTTGTTTAAATTAGTTGAAAATTTAGAAAAGGGAAAGATTTGAAAATATTAAAAACAAATAAATCTTAGTGTAAATTTAAAATGGTTCTGTATATTGAACAATAAATTAAAACTTTGTATGTGTACATTTGAAATTCGTAATAAAAATATAAATTTAGCTTATTACTACATCTTTACTCATTATGTAGAAATATTAATGTAGAAATACATAAATTATATTGCTATTAAATTATTTATTATCTGACATTATTTATGAAGTATTATTATAACCTTGGTAATTTCAAAGATAAACTTTGCTTTAAAAGACAAGATTGTTCAGGAAACGAATCGAAAGTTTCTTTAATTGCTCAAGGATGAATACACTTGTATTATTCTTAATATACATAATAATTTTTGTATATGGTATGTAAATTTTATGATTACTTTATACATTTATTTTCTTTAATTAATTATTGGAAACTAAAAATTACATATAATTCCAATATAAAAGAGGCCAATTATTACATGTACTACATTGTATTAATTTATTGAACAAGTTTTTATTGCAAATTACTTTAACTATTTTGGAATATATATAAATATATATATATATATATATATTGAAGTATGAAAAAATATATATATACATGTAATTAAAATGTATAAACTATTATTTAAATGCACATATAATCTTTACATTCCTTAAAAATTATATAATTTATCAAGAATTCTTGATAATTGTTTTTTTCAGGATCGACCAAAATTATAAATGGCGAGCCTGCACCGTTAAGTCATTTTTCTTATCAGGCAAAGTTACTATCTATCAAAAAATATTTCTTATGTGGAGGAACAATAATTAACAATCACTGGATTCTCACAGCAGCACGTTGTTGCAATAAGTATAATTGCGTTTCTAAATAAATATCTAAATTAATATTTATTATATCAAATTACTAATTTACTTACATGTAATTATAAAATAGTAATGAAAACTCTCCAGCTTATGTAGAAGTTGGTAATTATTTATTATATCCAGTTGGTGATGAAGGTATATACAGTGTTAACAAGACAATACGTCATGATAAGTATGATGATGTAAGTGATTTATAAAATAATAAAAATATTTTAAAATCTTTAAAAATATAAATATAAACGTATTAAAAATATAGAAGTATTTAAAAATATATATTTAAAATATTAAAATGACTTTCTATTAATAGGAAATGCGAATTCTCAAATAACAAATGTCATAATTCTATCTAATGTTATTAAGATAAAATGTAAAAATTGATTAAATTAAACAATAGCTACTTTACCTACTTAGTACTTCATAAAGTTAAATAAGGATTAACTAACATGAGTGTTTCAACATACTTCCTTTTATATTATTATTATAATAAATATAATAACTCTAGTCAATAATTTAAAAAAATTAATTTTCTTTTAATAGAAAAATTAATGAAACGCACACTTGAAAAAATATTTTATATAATTAAAAATAATTGTAAAATTATTCAAATAAGATAATACATTTTATTTTTATATTTAGCGAACGTTATTGAATAATATTGCACTTCTATATATAAAATCCGAAATAAAATTCAACAATTATGTTAGTAGCATTAATTTGCCAGCAAACAATAATAACAAATACCGTAATATTTGGGTAATTGGAAGTGGTTGGGGGTATCAAAAGGTGAGTATTAAACCATAAAGTTGCTTTATACCATGTTGCATTAAAATCCATATGACACGTAATACATATCTTTTTTAAAAAATGTATTATAGAATGAAAATGCACAAAATAAATACTATTCCTTACAATATGTCGTAGTCCGAACTATTAGTAACAGAAGATGTCAGAAACTGCTAAGAAATGTCGTTGTAAATAGTAAAATAATTTGCACTATTAGCAGAAGTAGAACAAATGGACATTATGTAAGATTTTATATTCTATTTATATTTTCGAATATTTGATATATGCTTTAATCATGTTTTTCTATTTTTAGATTAATTCAGGAGGGCCGATTGTTAGTCAGAAAACACTTATCGGCGTGTTGTCAATACCAATGATTCCTAAAAATGCATATAGTTCAGTGATAAATGTGAACACTAGAGTTTCTAGTTATCTTAAGTGGATTAATGACACCGTACAATCACATTCTGATTAATCTTAAAGTGTGTATTAAAAGTGCTTAGATTTGTTTAATTTACATATAACTAAATATAAATAATAAATATTTTTATTAATATTTAATAAATAATTATAAATACATTATTTAAGATATTTATTCTATAAAACCTATAAAACATTAATTTTAAATATAGTTCTAATCATATTATGATTATATTTCTATACTAAATGCTAACAAGTGTAATTTGCAATATGTTGTAAATGTTTAATAATCTAATAACAGAGTAAATGCATACAATGATTTTCTTTTTATCCTCTAAGGATAAAACTCATTAAAAGAAAACTGGTATCCTAAGAATCGTTTTTAAGATTACTATTGATATTCTAAATAATTAAATTTATATATTTGATTAGAGAATAAGTATAATTTTATCCACATAAGCACACTTAAGAGTTTAGTGTAGCAATATCAGAAAAAGAATAATGGCACAGCCGCAAACACTCGTGAATCTGAATCGAGAAATTTTTTAAAAATTTAATGAATTAATAGCAATCAGAGCATTAAGCAGCTAATCTTGAGCTTCTTGATTAAACTTCTAATGATTGAGCTTCTTAGATCAATAATGACAATAATGTATGTCTGAATTTATCGATCATGAAAAATCATTGGTCAATCGGTAATTCGGAGTCATTCGCTAATGATTCTTCATGACAGTTGCAATGACTCCTCAACTCCACTTCTCAAATTGTATACTACATACTCTACATGCAATATCAGTTTCACTTCATTAATCTAGAGGATAAAATAGAAGAGTGAGAGAACTTAAAGATTTGCAATATCATAGTCATAATTCATTCTACAGCCTATATGAACCTTTTTGCCCTTCTGTCTCTCCTACAACTTTTATGATTATTGCAACATGTTTAATTTAGCAGTTTCATAGACTAACTGTATCTTAGAAGAAATTTAATCTGATTTATACTACCTGTTAATATTTAACCGTACCATGGGTCTAAATTGTTTCAATCAAGTAATATTGAATAGTATTTTATAACTGTTATAATTAGTCCTATGTTATCCTTAAAACTGAAGAATATAACTTACAATAATACAATAAGTATAACAAATATAAATGAAAAGTCTTGATAAGTATTGAGTTTTCACTTGTACTACCATATATCAAAAGCTATGTGATTTAGTTAAAAATAATCTAAACATTAATATTTTTAAATATAAATTATAAATACTGTTGAATGTAGATTTTTTATAATCTAATTCTTTTTATATATTAGTATTTTAATTTTATAAATTAACTTGTTTATGTTTGAAAAATCATCACTATACAATTTATGTGGTGTATACCCGAATTATAGTGTATATTAAAATTAATGTAAATATATTGATTTTTAAGAAAATAAGAGAGGCTTGTTTCTTGTCAAAAATTTCTCCATTTTCAGTTTATCCTTGAAATTATTCAAGTTACGGCATTACCGCAAAAATAGTAAATAATAATAAAAAATTTTATGTTGATATGATTTATATTTTTTTTCAAGATTGATAAATTATGACTGTGGGTGAAATAAATTTTATTTACAGTTATGAAATTTAAGAACTATTTTTATTGTCTATTCTATTCCCTTTTCTTCTCATTCCTATTATTTAATATTTATTTGATGCATATAATTATTGTATAAGTATTATCATTTTTATAGATTCATAATTAAAAGAAAAGTAGTTTGTACCCTTATAACGGTATCTCGTATTCGTTGCATAACAATAATATGATAAAATTTCATAATCCAGAAAAAAAGGCTTTGAATTTTTCATAAACACAATGATTCTAGAAGCACTCACAAATGTAAAAGTTTGCGGTTCAGCATTTAGAAGCTATCCGTTACATTCAGTTACAATGTTCATAGAGTTATATGATAAGGATAGAAGAGGCATCATTTAGGGACAGGCAAAAGGGGATGTTTTTCGCATGTCCATAGACCATTGGCAAATAATTAAGCCGATGTGTTTACGACTTGAGCATTGCGGCAAATCGACTGTCTAATCAGACCATGAATAATTACCAGATGAACTCGCTTGCGAAAATACAAGTCAGCCGGAAACTTCTACACAGCGATTTGAACGAATTGTGAATTTCTTTAGGACATATCATAGCTGATCATTCTTCTGTATGTCAAGACTCAATAGCTACAATACCAGTTTTCCCGTGCGGCATTTTTTTCAATGAAA